CAAAACTGCCTTTACGGCACAAGGGGGCACTACAAATTTATTACGGCCAACACCAAGAACATAAAAAAGAGGGAGATCAAATCATTCCCGGGTCTTTTGGGCTATTATAGAAAGTTCATTTGGGACTTTGCAAAAATCACTAAGCCCATGACGCAACAGTTAAAAGTTAAAGACCCGGTACTGTTAACGGAAGAATTTACAAAATCTTTAGAAATTTGTAAAACCTTGTTGTGTAACGACCCTCTACTAAAATACCCCATTTTAGGAAACCGTTCATATTAACCACCGATGCAATGTAGACCGCTCCCAGGTCTTGTCGCGAGGAACCATATGTTCAGATAGACCGGTTTTATTCGCAAGTAGAACGCTCAGCCGAATATAATAACCCCTCAGCAAGCAATATGACAAAAAACCAATAACATCGAAGCCGTTGGCCTTACAACAAAGTATGATGGACTTTATGTCCTTCATGAATACAACAATACAAAACCCTATGCAAAACCAAAACATTCTTATAAAGATGCTGCATCCCAACAATCTAAATAATAGATGTCTTGTCCTCATTGAAAACCACATAGACGTAATGCTGCTGGCAGAAACGCATCTTACAAGTAAATATTAAGCTTGTTAGTACATGGGAAGCTCCGAATAGCATCAAGACTGGACGAAAAGCATATTGTGCCAAAACTTTAATTTCAAAATCAAATTTTCATAGTGCAACTAAAATTAATGATAATTTCTATGCAATGTTTTTAGAATTTGCAGTATTAGACTTATCGATAGAAAATGTATGATTTTCACTATCAATATATGAAACCAAAGTTTCAGGAAAAGTTATTCTTAAATTATATGGATTCTGATTCATTTATCTATACAATAAAAACTGAGGATTTTTATAAAGGTATTCGTAATGATCTTGAAGAAAAATTTGGTACATCGGATTTTTCAGATGAAAGAATTCATCTATATAACTTCAAAAGAGTTAACAAAAAAGAGTTTAGGGTTTTTATAAAAAAGAGCTTAACGGTAAACTCATGACATATGTTTATATTTACTAATACGAACATGGCCCCCTTACGGAATTTACTCGCAACAAATATTTTCAGGTGATTATAGGATGATTGTAATATTTGTTTTTCAGTGGAAGAATTGACATTACCTGGACTCATTTTTATTGTTCTATGCACTCTATTATTCTATTTATTAATTAATTGCTTATACATATCTATCCACTTATATTTTCCATTAAAACTAAACTCACGCCACATTAATTTTTTAAGAGTTCTATTGAAACGTTCAACTACAGATGCTTTAAGAGTACTGAAGGTTGAATAATGATTTATCCTATAACTTTTCATCAGCACCTTAAATTTCGAATTAAAGAATTCAGTGCCATCATCAGTTTGCAGGTTTTTTGGTGTTATATGACACGAGAAACATAATATGCATTTTTTGATTAAGTGCCTCACCCCAAGCATATTTCGAAAATGTGTCTATAACAGTCAACAAGTATAGGTACCCATCATTAGATTTTGAAAAGGCTCCCATTTCAGCCAAATCTGCTTGCCACAGATCGTTTATACCGAGATGGTCGGTAATGATATCGGTTTTTTTTACATATTTAAATATATAGTCCTCAATGGTTTTAATCTTTTCCAGAATTTTAGCAAAAAATTTGGTCAGCGCTGTCTGCCCTCTTATTATAAAATTCAATTTTATTCTCTAGGCTTGAAATTTTTGTGAATTTCTCCCAACTTTCCGAGATCTCATCAGTATATTGTTTCGTTGCTAGATCATTTTTGTCTAAAGGTTTAGTTCCGTTTTTGGTACGTTTATTTTGAGCATTTAGAATACCGTCGGTAGACTTAACACGTCTTTTCAAATTTTCTGATCGTTCCCTATCAACAGAAAAATTTTCAAACTGGTCGACAGACATGATGATGAAGTGATGTTATTTTATTATCTTTAATTTTTAATTCTTTATCTCCCAAAGTTAATTAATTGTTTGCAGTTTTTGTAGGTCCATAACCTTTATCCAACACATTTCCTCTGGTCAAATTACTGATATTAAAATCATAACTATAACTAGTGTTATTATCTTCTAGCTCTGCATCCACACCCATATCGGCTTCTCCTGTATCCATTGGTAAAGGTGTTGTCCCTTCTTCTTCACTCTTTTCCGACTCCTTTTTTCATCTTCTATATCTTCCTATATATTCGTCTGCGAAAAGAATCACTATCATCGCAAGACTTTGGTGGAGTTATATTTCGATTAGACTGCAGATCTTTCTCATTAGTTGTAAATTAGAAATCGTCAAGCTCTCTCTCATCATCATCGTATTTTTTAATTTGCTTAAATTCACGCTTTACTTTTATGCAATCTTTTACATTAGAGATCTTTTGTTTTTTATTTTTCTTAAGATCATTTAAGGGTTCAGAAATGGGTTTAAGTTTCCTCCAATTGTAAATTCGTATGATTTTTGACTTGTTTGAGATCATCGAATTTTCGCTTCATAGCAAATCCAGCAAATCCTGAGTCATATCCAAATGGTAGTCCGAATGTTGATTTTAGTAAGAATCTGTAGCTCGGGTAGCTCTTGCTTGAATCCCTTTTATGACATGTTTATGACTCTTTTGTGGAAAGGACAGAATCTTAGACAGTTTACCTGTTAAATGTTCTGGGGCGGAAACAAAAATGTGTGTTTGAAAATATTCCACATCTGAGAATCATTAACTTGTAAGATTCATTTTATTGGGGTTCTTTTGATTTCTAAATTAGTTTTACAATCATAGAAAACATTATTCCTCAACATTATCGGACATGTTCCTCTAAGATAACCATCTTTGAATACTTTGGGTGTGAGACCTTTCATACGTGCACAGCAACATCTGTGATAATGAGGCAAAAGGGTACGTGATCACACCTTTCCCCAATATGATCGGATATGTTCATCTAGATAACAACCTTTGAATACGATACACATAATGAGGGGACGGATGTGGGGACGATGGGGGCAATTAAGTATACTCTGGACATGATCGTGAAATTTTTTTGACTTCAAAGCCCATCTTTCCATATATTTGTTTTGAAATTCTCTAGAGGGTATTCCAAATTTTGAGTCAATTTGAGGATCTAGGAGACCAGCAGGCCAAGTGAAAATATTGCAAGACAACAATGAGCTGTACAACAAGTTAACAAGTGAACAGGTGATCAAGTGAATAAGTGAACAGATGAGCAAGTTAGCAAGTGAGCAAGAGAGCAAACGAACAACTGAGCAAAATGAGTGAGTTGAGTCATTAAAAAAAAGAACAAGTGAACATGTTACCCTAATAAGCATTATTTTCCCAACACTAATGTCTTGGCTTCGAATAATATGGAATGCCAGCGGCGTTTCACGGCACAAACTTGAAATAATTTCAATTCCTTATTTAAAACCTCTTTGACGAAATGTTGCTGGCAGAAACGCATTTTACAAGTAAGTACAACTGCCAAGTAAGAGGATACACTTCGTAATGCACAGATCATATAAGGGGCCGTCCATATACCACGTGGACAAATTTTAAGCACTTTTTGAACCCCCCTCCCCCCCCACGTGGACAATCGTGGATTTTTAACTAACCCCCCCCCCCCCACCACTATTTTTGTCCACGTGGACTTTTTATTGAAATTTTTTTTTTCTTTTTAAAAATGATATCTATAGAGATTTTTAAAAATGGTAAATTAATAGAAGTTTAATAGTAAATTTAAAAGTGGAATAAGTAACATAAAGGTTAAAATTAAATTTTTACTATGTCCATGTGGACATTTACCTCGAACCCCCTCCCACCCCTCGTGGAAAATCGTGGACTTTTGACGAACCCCCCCTCCCCCAAAACTTTCCACGTGGTATATGGACGGCCCCTAAAGCAATTATAAGCTTCAGCAACAAACTCGACTATGTTTTCCCTGCAAGCGTACATACTGGCAGCTGTCCCCAGAAAAGTTCCGGACTTAATTGACTTCGCTGTGAAAAGGACCTCTTAAGAAATCTAGTACGCGCTAAACTTCTATCGGACTTATCATCGGACAACTCGCTGGTCCTAATAACTCTTATTCAAAGCCATAAGCAAACTATTTATCGGGATCACAAAACTTGGGTACCTCCCAAAAAAAATCAAAAAAATCTGCAGTCATAATGATACCAAAGCCTGGTAAAGACCTCACAATTCCCTCATTGTACAGGCCAATAGGTTTATTATCGTGGCTGTCCAAATTATTAGAAAATTTCAATACGCATAACACCATATCTAAGAGCACACAATTTAATTCAGGCACATCAATTCGGGTTCCGGGAAAGGCACGGAACTATCGAGCAGGTCAACCGGATAAATTCGTACAGCCTTTGCAGTGCGATATTCCTCGATGTCTTCGAAGCATTTGACCGAGTTTGGCTTAAAGGCATAAAATCATAAAGTAGATGCCAGAAAACACTCATAAGTCTTCGTGGTGAGATGCAATGCAACAACATCTAACCAGTATACCATTGAATCTGGAGTTCCACAAGGTAGCGCACTAGGCACTACTCTGTTTATTCTATACACCACAGATATTCCTACAACGAAAGGCTAATTTTGCCTGGACCGATATCCTGAACCACCCGAGATGGCCAACTTGAGCTTGTGGGGACCACCTAATAAGTCCCAACCCAGTGCCAGCATCTACGGGTGAATGTCAAACAGCTGAGGCTACTCAAGCTTCGCGGTGAATGGCACGGCGGACTTGTTAAAAAGCTTCTCCCTTGGGTTCGGTAACGGAAATCTCTCTCTCCCCGCAGACTTGACACGAGAAGGTTAAGTGCAAGTCCCGCTGATAACGAATAAAACTTATAGCCCAAATAATAGGTCACTGTGATATTGAACCTCCCACATGTTTCAATTGTATCGCTATTTGAATTAATTTCGTGTTTAGCTAAAACCTGATAAATATAATCTTTCTCATCGAAAATGCAAAACCCTACATGTGCTACTGTCTGTATAAGAAAACATGGTTGATCACAGCGATTATTAGGTCGCCGGCTCGAGGCAGGAGTCACCCCAGCAGATACTACAAGGGCCACCACAACAGGCGCCCGTTCAATTGCCGCAGCAGACGCCTCGCCAAACCCCACAGCAGTCAGCGTCCCAACTACCACTGCAACCGCATGGTGTAATCCAACCTCAATATTTTGCACCGACTGCACTCCAGCAACCCGTCGCGTTTGCTCCGGACTTGTCCGCTTCGCTCCCATCGATCTCAACCAAACCGGATGGCATCGAGCAGACATCAGTTGAGATCAGCCGAGTGTCGTTGAGGGCTCCTCCGCAATTTAAAGGGCACCCAGCCGTTTTCTTCACCCTGCTGGAGTCACAGTTCGCAAAGCCTCCGCATTACGGTGGACGACACCAAGTTTCACCAAACGCTGAAAATACTGCACTGAACATACGGCAGAATACTTGGAGACAATAATGTACATTTAGCGGAATCCGCCGCTAGCGGGAAAGTATGAAGCGATAAAGAGAAAAATGATTGCCGAACATCTACCTTCAAATCAGGCGCAGTTTGCGCAATTGTTCAGGTCGTTGGAGCTCGGGGCAGCAAGCCGTCTTTATTGCTGCGCCGTATGCGCGAACTGGCTAGGGGCGGCATCGGGGAGGTCGCCTTGAAAGCCATATCCTGGGAGAGGTTGACCAAGGGCTTGCGACTTGTAGTGGCGATTACCGATAATATCGCGCTAATGGCCGACTGGACCTGGGAGTAGGGACACCACACGGTCAACGCGGTTGCATCCAGGTCTTCTCCACCATCGATTTGGCCCGCGTCTATCATCAGATTCCACTCGCGCCGAAGGATCAAGAAAAGACCACAATCATCACACCGTTCGGGCTCTTCGAGTTTAATGTGATGACATTTGCTCTCCGGAATGCATCGCAAAAGTTTCAGCGGCACATGAACAACATCCTCGGCGATCTCAATTTTGTGGCAGTGTATATCGACGACACTGATATAACAATTCTGGGACATTATATTACAGCACACGGCATTTCCCCAACAGTCGAACGAGTGAATGCGATCAACGAGTTTCCAAAGCCTACCAGGACATGCGAATTGCGTCGATTCATTGCTATGCTTAACTATTACCGTCGTTTTCTGCCGCAAGCTGCCGTCACCCAAGGTATTCTCCAAGCGCTCATTTTTGGCAACAAGAAAAATGATCAATCGCCAGTGGGGTAAACTGAGGATGCCACTAACGCATTTGAGCGCTGCAAGTCCGATTTGGTCAGCGCAACACGGTTGGCGCACCCAATAGCCAATACGCATCTCGATTTTTATGTCGACGCCAGAAATTATGCGGTTGATGCAGCGCTCCACCAGCTCAACGGCGGACAACTGCAGCCGCTAAGCTTTTACTCCAAGGTCATGAAGGATACACAAAAGCGTACGTTACGTTAGCCATTTATAAGGCGGCCAAGTTTAATCGGTTCATGATAGAGGGACGCCACTGCAGTACAGTATGTACACCGATCACAAGCCGCTAGTGTATGCGTTTCGGCAGGATCCCGAAAAAGCATCGCGATGACAAGGGAGACATTTGTCATTTATCGCTGAATTGTGCTCCAAAATCGAGCATATCACTGGTTCCACTAACACTGTTGCAGACGCCCTCTCCCGCATCGCAGAATTTCAGCAGATCGACATGGACGACTGTACGCGCCTACAAGAAGCGGACGTCAAGCTGAGACTGGCAAATCATCCTTGCAATTGCGTAAACTCCAATTGTCAAACTCCGGCATCAGCGTGTATTGCGATACATCCATACATTCCATCGCCGATGAGAAGAACGTTATTCGACGTGCTGCATGGATTGGCCCATTCCGGCAAGCAGGCCACCGTCAAGTTTGTCACAGGACGCTTAGTGTGACCCAGCATCAACAAAGACATCGCCTCATGGGCGTCTTCCTGCATCCAGTGCCAGCGGTGCAAAATATATCGCAACAATAGAGCAGCTTTCAACAGCTTCGATTCGCCCGATGCCCGGTTCCAGGACATCAACATAGACCTGATTGGACCGCTACCCCCGTCAAATGGCTATCGCTATTGCCTGACGGTCATCGACCGGTTCAGCAGATGGCCACCAGTAGTTCCATTGACTGAAATCACGGCTGAAGAGGTGGTAAGCGCACTTCTGCACGAGTGGATCGCACATTATGGTGTGCCTGTGAGGATCACGAGCAACCAAGGACGTCAGTTCGAGTCTGGCCTGTTCAAAGAGCTATCGCGCATTCTAGGCGTAAAATTGATCGCACGCTCAAGGCAACATTAAAATATGTAACGATTAACGGGTATTCCGTTCGGAGCAGATGTTCGGGGACTGGGACGGAGTGCGCGGTTTCAATATTACTGTCTCGCGCTTAGCTCCAGCGTTAGCTGCGGTTATTCAAATTTGTTCGCGTACGAAATGATTTGGGGGTATAAAAAAAATCGATTAATTCGGTAGCTCACGTTGTCAGCTAAGTAGACAACAGGGTATCGTATCAGCAAAGGTTACCTTTCTTACATAATCTCGCATCGCTGCAAGTACTCCCACCCAACCTTGATCTCCGAAAAAACCCAGAAAAACTAATAAAGTCAGAGATCCCTCAGAAAGGTTTAGAGGTAACTCTTCAACATTCCAATACGGCTGGGTTCCAACATGATAAGAAATTAGTTCATTTTTTACAAAGCGTTGTATATTCTAAGAAAGCCTTCAAAATGTGCCGAAATGGTTAGATTCGATGTAATAGTTATTCAAGACCATTTCTAAAATTTCAATATTAATTCATTTATACAAGTTTATAAATTTACAACTAAAATCAAATGTTCTCTTAAATTACGATCATGCTAACGAGTGCGTAATGTTTGAGAAATAATAATGAGGACTGTATTAATAAGTGCGATAGTAGTTTCCCTGTTTTACTTGATTGAATGTGGGTTTTTTTTCTTTATTCTTTCTGTCTCGTGCTGTTGAACAGCCGTAATAATTGGGATGCAAGCCAGTACAATGCAATTTTAACTATCCGCAGACTTCTCAAAGAGTTGTCATATTATATATGTATATTTATGAGCTTTTCAGTTGACAATGAATATTTGGGTATATCACTTACATCTTCGCAATTCCCGAGCCGAAAGATCTTTCGCGGAGGACAGCAGTGATGATTTTGCTGTATCTAAGGTTATTAAGACATTAGATTAGGAGACGAGTGCCGACAGCTTTTGTTCTTTTGCGGTATTCGATAGCACGTAATATACAGAATTTTCGTGGTTTTGTTTTGATTCTTTTTATCGCGCTATGCACATGTATGTGTAACTATATTCTTCTTCCGGACTATAAGCATTCGTTTAACTTATCAATCAAAAATAACTACCTAAATTCCAACAAACGAAAATGTTTTCAGTATTTAATTAATTTCATCTGTTCAGCATCCATTCTTTTTCTTCACTTTTTTGTGGTTAGGCTAAGGTATATTGAGGTTTAAAATACAGGTAAGTCCTATAGGTATATGGGTTGCATTTATCTATTGGTTTTGCTTATTTAATTCATTTTTCAATTTCAATTCATTTTCTTTATCTGTTGTTAGTTGGAAAAAATTAGGAGATTTTGGGTACGCTGTTCCTAATCGGGTGCTGATGGTGGTGATTCTTGAAAATATTTCTTGAATTCCTCAATCTTCCAGCTAGGTGAAGCCGTCCACGTGTAGGCAGAATTGGTTGCCTTTATAACGGAATTATCTGAAATATTTCAGACTAAACTCAAACAAAGTTAGCTTTTAAGGGTTTTGTTACCTGTGATTGGCACACAAAAAAATGGAACAATATTTTGATCTCTACTAGTCAGGAGTTTATCACAAGAAAAGAGGTCGAATTGATTCTTCTGATTCTTCTATGTTCTTTCGGTCCTTTTTGGGTATGTAGGTACAACCGGATTCCCATCGTCTTGCTTGGACTGCGAACAATATTCAAAACTGATATCTTTAAGCTTTTAAACATAAGTGGCACCCCCGAACCGATCTGTATGCAGTGGACCAATCAAACCATCAGAAGGGAGGGTAATTCCGTATGCTGCAATACTCGAATCGCCGAGGCAGACGCCACTAAAACATATTGGCTTAATAATGTCCATACTGTGAGAAACCTAGGCTTGCCAAAACAGACGATCAAGGAAATGAATTGCGCATCAAGTTTCCACATCTAGATGGAATACCCCTACAATCTTATTCGAATGCCGAACCAATGATTCTCTTTGGAACCAACAACTGGAAGCTCGCTGTACCACGAAGGCTCAGAGAAGGAAAATGGAGTCATCCAATTGCGTCTAAGTGTATTCTCGGTTGGGGACTTCAAGGCTCCACAAGCTCCAAAACTGAATTTTCCATGCACCACTGCCAGTGCAACTGTGACGAGATTAAAAAGAGCATTAAAGAGAGTTTTTGAAACTGTTACTACAAAGACGTTTTGTTCAACATGTTCAAAAAATGAAGGACATTATCAAGAAGGACTTCTTTACGCGAGAATAATCCCACTTTTCCGGAAAGCTACAACAACGCAATGAAACGGCTAAACTGTCTAAAGGCTAAGATAAGCCTAGAACCTGAACTTTTTGGCAAATGGCGTTTCGAGTTGGTAAAATAGCTGTTTGTGGCGACATTGCTGAAATGTTCCACCAAATTCGAATTCTGGAATCAGATGCGACGCTCAACGTTTTGTGTGGTACAACAAGGAATCGCAGGCTATCAGAACTTTTGTAATGAGATCTATGACATTCGGAATATCCTGTGCGCAATGCATTGCTCATTATGTTCGCGACAAAAACGCGGAGGAATACAAGCTGCTTACCTAGGCGACGAAACTGAAGCAATCGAGGCTACCCTAAAGGTCCGAGACATACCCGCGGCTGGAGGTTTCAATATAAGGAATTGGGCTTCTAATTCACCCGAAGTCTAGAAACATTTACAGTGTGATTCCCTCGATCTAAGTCCGATAGAAGTTTAGCGCGTACTAGATTTCTTAAGAGGTCCTTTTCACAGCGAAGTCAATTAAGTCCGGAACTTTTCTGGGGACAGCTGCCAGTATGTACGCTTGCAGGGAAAACATAGTCGAGTTTGTTGCTGAAGCTTATAATTGCTTTAGGGGCCGTCCATATACCACGTGGAAAGTTTTGGGGGAGGGGGGGTTCGTCAAAAGTCCACGATTTTCCACGAGGGGTGGGAGGGGGTTCGAGGTAAATGTCCACATGGACATAGTAAAAATTTAATTTTAACCTTTATGTTACTTATTCCACTTTTAAATTTACTATTAAACTTCTATTAATTTACCATTTTTAAAAATCTCTATAGATATCATTTTTAAAAAGAAAAAAAAAATTTCAATAAAAAGTCCACGTGGACAAAAATAGTGGTGGGGGGGGGGGGGTTAGTTAAAAATCCACGATTGTCCACGAGGGGGGGGAGGGGGGTTCAAAAAGTGCTTAAAATTTGTCCACGTGGTATATGGACGGCCCCTTATATGATCTGTGCATTACGAAGTGTATCCTCTTACTTGGCAGTTGTACTTACTTGTAAAATGCGTTTCTGCCAGCAACATTTCGTCAAAGAGGTTTTAAATAAGGAATTGAAATTATTTCAAGTTTGTGCCGTGAAACGCCGCTGGCATTCCATATTATTCGAAGCCAAGACATTAGTGTTGGGAAAATAATGCTTATTAGGGTAACATGTTCACTTGTTCTTTTTTTTAATGACTCAACTCACTCATTTTGCTCAGTTGTTCGTTTGCTCTCTTGCTCACTTGCTAACTTGCTCATCTGTTCACTTATTCACTTGATCACCTGTTCACTTGTTAACTTGTTGTACAGCTCATTGTTGTCTTGCAATATTTTCACTTGGCCTGCTGGTCTCCTAGATCCTCAAATTGACTCAAAATTTGGAATACCCTCTAGAGAATTTCAAAACAAATATATGGAAAGATGGGCTTTGAAGTCAAAAAAATTTCACGATCATGTCCAGAGTATACTTAATTGCCCCCATCGTCCCCACATCCCTATGTGACAATATTGATCATGTTTCCGTCCCCTCATTATGTGTATCGTATTCAAAGGTTGTTATCTAGATGAACATATCCGATCATGTTGGGGAAAGGTGTGATCACGTACCCTTTTGCCTCATTATCACAGATGTTGCTGTGCACGTATGAAAGGTCTCACACCCAAAGTATTCAAAGATGGTTATCTTAGAGGAACATGTCCGATAATGTTGAGGAATAATGTTTTCTATGATTGTAAAACTAATTTAGAAATCAAAAGAACCCCAATAAAAAGAATCTTACAAGTTAATGATTCTCAGATGTGGAATATTTTCAAACACACATTTTTGTTTCCGCCCCAGAACATTTAACAGGTAAACTGTCTAAGATTCTGTCCTTTCCACAAATGAGTCATAAACATGTCATAAAAGGGATTCAAGCAAGAGCTACCCGAGCTACAGATTCTTACTAAAATCAACATTCGGACTACCATTTGGATATGACTCAGGATTTGCTGGATTTGCTATGAAGCGAAAATTCGATGATCTCAAACAAGTCAAAAATCATACGAATTTATAATTGGAGGAAACTTTTAAACCCATTACTGAACCCTTAAATGATCTTAAGAAAAATAAAAAACAAAAGATCTCTAATGTAAAAGATTGTATAAAAGTAAAGCGTGAATTTAAGCAAATTAAAAAATACGATGATGATGAGAGAGAGCTTGACGATTTCTAATTTACAACTAATGAGAAAGATCTGCAGTCTAATCGAAATATAACTCCACCAAAGTCTTGCGATGATAGTGATTCTTTTCGCAGACGAATATATAGGAAGATATAGAAGATGAAAAAAGGAGTCGGAAAAGAGTGAAGAAGAAGGGACAACACCTTTACCAATGGATACAGGAGAAGCCGATATGGGTGTGGATGCAGAGCTAGAAGATAATAACACTAGTTATAGTTATGATTTTAATATCAGTAATTTGACCAGAGGAAATGTGTTGGATAAAGGTTATGGACCTACAAAAACTGCAAACAATTAATTAACTTTGGGAGATAAAGAATTAAAAATTAAAGATAATAAAATAACATCACTTCATCATCATGTCTGTCGACCAGTTTGAAAATTTTTCTGTTGATAGGGAACGATCAGAAAATTTGAAAAGACGTGTTAAGTCTACCGACGGTATTCTAAATGCTCAAAATAAACGTACCAAAAACGGAACTAAACCTTTAGACAAAAATGATCTAGCAACGAAACAATATACTGATGAGATCTCGGAAAGTTGGGAGAAATTCACAAAAATTTCAAGCCTAGAGAATAAAATTGAATTTTATAATAAGAGGGCAGACAGCGCTGACCAAATTTTTTGCTAAAATTCTGGAAAAGATTAAAACCATTGAGGACTATATATTTAAATATGTAAAAAAAACCGATATCATTACCGACCATCTCGGTATAAACGATCTGTGGCAAGCAGATTTGGCTGAAATGGGAGCCTTTTCAAAATCTAATGATGGGTACCTATACTGGTTGACTGTTATAGACACATTTTCGAAATATGCTTGGGGTGAGGCACTTAATCAAAAAATGCATATTATGTTTCTCGTGTCATAGAACACCAAAAAACCTGCAAACTGATGATGGCACTGAATTCTTTAATTCGAAATTTAAGGTGCTGATGAAAAGTTATAGGATAAATCATTATTCAACCTTCAGTACTCTTAAAGCATCTGTAGTTGAACGTTTCAATAGAACTCTTAAAAAATTAATGTGGCGTGAGTTTAGTTTTAATGGAAAATATAAGTGGATAGATATGTATAAGCAATTAATTAATAAATAGAATAATAGAGTGCATAGAACAATAAAAATGAGTCCAGGTAATGTCAATTCTTCCACTGAAAAACAAATATTACAATCATCCTATAATCACCTGAAAATATTTGTTGCGAGTAAATTCCGTAAGGGGGCCATGTTCGTATTAGTAAATATAAACATATGTCATGAGTTTACCGTTAAGCTCTTTTTTATAAAAACCCTAAACTCTTTTTTGTTAACTCTTTTGAAGTTATATAGATGAATTCTTTCATCTGAAAAATCCGATGTACCAAATTTTTCTTCAAGATCATTACGAATACCTTTATAAAAATCCTCAGTTTTTATTGTATAGATAAATGAATCAGAATCCATATAATTTAAGAATAACTTTTCCTGAAACTTTGGCTTCATATATTGATAGTGAAAATCATACATTTTCTTTCGATAAGTCTAATACTGCAAATTCTAAAAACATTGCATAGAAATTATCATTAATTTTAGTTGCACTATGAAAATTTGATTTTGAAATTAAAGTTTTGGCACAATATGCTTTTCGTCCAGTCTTGATGCTATTCGGAGCTTCCCATGTACTAACAAGCTTAATATTTACTTGTAAGATGCGTTTCTGCCAGCAGCATTACGTCTATGTGGTTTTCAATGAGGACAAGACATCTATTATTTAGATTGTTGGGATGCAGCATCTTTATAAGAATGTTTTGGTTTTGCATAGGGTTTTGTATTGTTGTATTTATGAAGGACATAAAGTCCATCATACTTTGTTGTAAGGCCAACGGCTTCGATGTTATTGGTTTTTTGTCATATTGCTTGCTGAGAGGTTATTATATTCGGCTGTGGGATCAACGTAGGATTTTGTAGTCCTTTTTTCAGGGTACTGGCGTATGCTATTCTCACATTTGAGGGCCATATAAAGGTCTGGTTGCTTTCGCAATGAAAATGTCAGGAATCAACGTAGGATTTTTTAGTCCTTTTTCAGGGTACTGGCGTATGCTACTCCCACATTTGAGGGCCATATAAAGGTCTGGCTGCTTTCCCAAAGAAAATTTCAGATGTGGTTTGAGATTGCACGCCCTCATATTGTGTATTCTGCTCGTTGAAGCCGATTCTTCAGCTCTTTATAGACTCGGCAGCCTCTGTAGTTTGCGGTATGGTTTTCTCAACAGTTAGCGCATTTTTCGTTTTTGGGTCTTCTTTGTTTGCAGGGCATAGTTCAAAATTGTGGAAGCCTCACAAGCTATGCAGACTGACCGAAGTCCGCAGTTGTCCAGGTTCGGATTGAATATTTTCAACATCCGACAATAGGGTGAATTTCTTGTTATTATAGATGCCCTTAATTGTTCAACGCCTTTATTGGGCAGCTTATTTTCAGTTTATTTCGGACCATATTATTTTGTAGGTTAAGCTTTCGTTTGATTTGGATGTAACGATCCAGGCCACTCTGTGTAGCCGGATCCGCTGGTGTTTTGTTATAACCGATATTGTCCCTCGTACTTACAATTGGTTTTTGTGTCTTTAATCGGCACTGTATAAGTTGACAAAGCTTCTGTTGATGTTGTTGTTGCAGTTTCTGCGGTTGCAGAAATTAATGAGGTCACTGCGCTCTTGGCTGGTGAGCTATGACTCGAAACTGGTGGTGGTTCTCTACACTGCAAGCTCCATGCTTGCTCCACCATAACTCCCACAAGGTGAGGAGGCGGTAGAACAAGACCGCGCTTTTTCACTGTCAGTGGTCAGTACGCCTGAGTTGCTCGTTAAATACCTTTTTCTACTTCTTTATCACGGGTTGAGACATATGAAAGATAACCGTTTCCCTGGTTTACGGAGATTCTGCGCTTTTACTTGATTGCCCTCACCCTGAATCCTTTAAACCCGTGTACGGTAACGGGCCTGAGGATGCTTAGCTTGGCCGATGGCGGTATCAACATCCTCCTGCTCTACAAGATCAGGCGCTGCATCCTGGAAGGCTCGGGGGAAACTCGTATGCCGCCATTGAGGCGATAACGATGACCGTTCTCCGGCCACTCTACTTCTTCACCCACCTGTACTACACAGACACTCTGTCGCTGACCATGTTGCTCCTATTCTGCAACTATTGGCAGCAGAAGGCTCATCTGCCGGCGGCGGTCTTTGTGTGCTAATGCGCCAGACGAACATCGTGTGGGTTTGCATGGTCACCGGGATGACAGTGCTGGACACGTTAGTCCACCAATGCATCCGCACTTTGGTCGTTCCCAAGGACAAAATCCGATTGATGGTCGAAGAGTTGTGGATGCAACTCTTTAGCAGTCCCCAATTCCGGAGCATCTGCTTTCTGAGCATTTTGGCCAAATGCTACGCTACGATCAATCCGCCCGTCGTAAAGTTCCTGTTCATTAATGGCTCTATTGTGGTGGGCTTTGGAACATACAACACCATACGCCAGTTACGTTCGGCAGCGGACCTAATTCGTTGGTTATGCTGATAATACTGGTTCTGATACACCTGATCACCGAGATGCATCCATATCTGCTAGCCGACAACAGACACTATACCTTCTACTTTTGGAGCCGACTTTACGGACGATTTTGGTGGATTCGGTACGCCATGGCTCCAGTCTACCTGCTCTCCATTTGCGTGCTCTTCTGCGGACTGCGTCCTATGCCGGACAGCTTCCTGTCAATCTTTTCCTGGTGCTGTGCTTCCAGCTACTCTTAGAGCTGCGCTACTTTCTGGTGCCCTACATCGTCTTCCGGCTGAACAACGCGGCACACTTGCAAGGGCTGCGCCGAGTGGCTGGGGAACTAGGCTTCTTAATGTGACCACATTTTATGTGTACTTCACCAAGGAGTTCTACAGCCAAAATTACCGCGGTCCTCAAAGGATAATTTGGTAGTTCCTTTAAGCTGCATTCCTTTGGAACTAAAAACCTAGATTGGAAGTCATTTACGTTTTCGGCATTTAAATACTATTTTTGATGGCCGCTCATTAAGCTAAGTTTTATTCGTGGTACTTCTTATTTATAATAATTTGTCACTTTTTTAATTCATAGCACTAATTATTTCTTAGACTGCTCCAGTATTATGTTATAACTTATTTTTTGGTGTTCTTTTCCGGAGCTCGCGCAAAACACGTCCGCTCTCTCCGGCAGTTGGCGGAACGATATGCGTCTCATTTTTGACGAAATGGTCTCGAAAAACGAGTCGATTTAGCCATGTCCGTCTGTCCGTCCGTTTATCCGTTTCTACGCAAACTACTAGTCTCTCAGTTTAAAAGCTATCGAGATGAAACCTTTCCAAAAGTCTTATTTTTATTACAGGTAGTAATAATAGTAGTATAAGTCCGGATCGAACAACTATATCCTAAATCCCCAAATTTTTTTTTTATGTACAACAATTATAACTTGTTTTTTTGACATACAAGGTGAGTTCCAAAGTAAACAGGACTTTAAAAAAAAGACAGAACATATAGTTTTTTCGGCAAAATCAATTTATTTTTGCACGGTCCAAAAGCATGTCGAACGAGTGTTTTAGCTCGTTGCCCGGTATGGCCGCCAGTATGCCGGTGCAAGCCTTTTGAATGGCCTCTACGTCTGCACAACGCTTTCCTTTCATCGGCAAATGCATTTTTCCGAAAAGGTAGAAGTCGCACGGTGAATACGGGGAGTGATTGATGGTTAAAATGTGATTTTTGGTCAAATAGTCGGACACAAGCGTCGATCGATGAGACGGCGCGTTATCGTGCAACAAATGCCAACTTCCATCTTCGCCATATTCGGGCCGAACACGTCAAATACGGCGCACCAAACGCTTCAAAACTCCAAGGTAGAATACCGCATTAACGTTTTGGCCGGGTGGAACAAATTCTTTGTGGACAATACCCTTGGAATCATAAAAACAAATCAGCATTGTCTTCACTTTTGACTTCTCCAGGCGCGATTTTTTGGATTTCGGCTCGTCCGGCGCCTTCCATTCAGCACTCTGGCGTTTCGTTTCGGGATCATATTGAAAACACCACGTTTTGTCACCAGTCACAATCTAGTAAAGGAAGTTCGGGTCTTTTTTTGCCTCTTTAATGATGTCCTGTTGAATTCTGAGCAATTTTTGGACGTCAGTCAATTTGTGCGGAACAAACCGTGCACACACATTTTGTAATCCCAAATGTTCGGTCAAAATGCGATAAATCAATGTTTTGGAGATGTTCAATTCTATTTCCATGAATTTCAATGATGATTTCGGCTGATTTTTTATGAATTCACGCACAGTTTAATTGAAACCACTCGTGCACTCTGCTACGGGATAGGCAATCATCGCCATAAACTTGTTTTACCAATTGAAACGTTTCGGTAAAAGTTGTACCAATTTTAAAACAAAATTTAATGTTGGCTCTTTGTTCGAAGCTCATTTTCGCACCGATGACAAAAACATACTGACACTTAAAACGCAATAACCTCACTTTCAATAGATGAAATGTCATGAAATTTTTACTGGAAGTCAATAAACGATAGCAGATTCTAACGCACCAGTTGACATATAGATGGCGCCACTAGAGGGCGCTAGATTAAAAAAGTCCTGTTTACTTTGGAACTCACCTTGTACTTACTTCTTCTCTTGGAAATATCATTCTTTTAATATTTCAGAATTTCGCACACAAATCAAGTCAGGAATTCTAGAATTCATCTTGTCCTCTAATTGGGCCTTATCTTTTGTATATATAGTTTATTCTGAAAACCGTTAAGTTTCTGTAAGTAGTCGTGTTCCGTGTTGTAGTTAAATTCTTTATTTAAATTGTGTGTTTTCCCTGAAAATAGCTTGTGGTGCATGTTTAGTAACGGAGTGTATGTTCTGTTATAGGTGGTTACGTTTCTAATAATATGTCTTCATGATTACATTCCAGCCTTTCGCCTTTCTGTTTCAGATGATAATTCAGTAAGCGCTGCCAGACTTATAGAATTTTTCGATCATTGTTAAGTTAGTCTGGCCATTTATAGTATATTTATCCTTGTGAATTATTTGTAATGATCGTTCCGGAATTTCGGTTTTTTCATGTTTAGGCTTAGGTTGTCTTTCATCACATTTCATTATCACATGAACTAATTATTTGCGTGATCTTTTGCTTCATATATGAAAAGTAAATGGTTCTTTTCAGGTGGGTTAAAGTTTCTTCTATTCCACGATGATTACTCTTCTGATGGTAATCCCTAAATACCGTCTCTTGTTACACCTGTCCAATTTGTGATCCTTAAAGTTTTGGACGTAAACTTTTTTTATCGATTCAAAAATTGTGTTGGGTGCTAGGATTGCATGTAAGCTGTTCGGTGTTAGGATTTCTTTTAATATTTCAGTTATAGTTTGAAGATTAAACATTACTTTCGCCACAGTGCGTCATTAACCGAGTCAGAGGTGTGTGACGATTTCAAGACCAAGTGTTGGCCAGCTTATCTTGTTCTTCTCTTTTGTTGAGCGTTCTACTTGCGAATAAAACCGGTCTATCTGAACATATGGTTCCTCGCGACAAGACCTGGGAGCGGTCTACATTGCATCGGTGGTTAATATGAACGGTTTCCTAAAATGGGGTATTTTAGTAGAGGGTCGTTACACAACAAGGTTTTACAAATTTCTAAAGATTTTGTAAATTGTTCCGTTAACAGTACCGCGGCTTTAACTTTTAACTGTTGCGTCATGGGCTTAGTAATTTTTGCAAAGTCCAAAATGAACTTTCTATAATAGCCCAAAAGACTCAGGAATGATTTGATCTCCCTCTTTTTTATGTTCTTGGTGTTGGCCGTAATAAATTTGTAGTGCCCCCTTGTGCCGTAAAGGCAGTTTTGGGTGTATCCTGGGTTCCATCTCAACTTTATGGTACCCCTTAGCCAGATCTAGGGCCGTGAAATATATTTGCTATCATTTACTATTTTCTAAGACTAAAACTACTGTTTCTAAAATCGAACACCATCCTCAACTTTTTTTTTAGAAGCGTCCAGTTTCTTGAAAACATGTAATACTGGAAGACTCCAGGGCGAATGGCTGTGCTTAATGATATTTTGGTCTAGAAGTTTGTTTATGTCTTTGAATTTCTGCTGCTTCCCTGAGGCTGAGTCTGAATGTTCTACAAATGTTCTCCTTTTAAAAAATTACCTAAGTAAATTAAGGTATTTTATTGATTTGAAAACTTTAAAATTATATATAAAAGTGTTTTAAATGTTAAAAGGGTATATTGAATTCGGCGAAAAAACCGTAACAGGTAGAAGAAAGCGCTTCCGACGCCATAAAGTAAGTATAATATATATGTTCAATAATGTTTTCTGAAATATATTGCTTTCGTCTTTACTTATTGACTTTAAAAAAGGTTTGCCACGCCAACACAGGTGTGGCGCCCACAGTTTTAATGCTAGAATTTTAGCTGAAATGGTTTGGTCTCGTACTTACCTATTAACGGGTATCTAATAGTCGAGACTCCAAGTTTAGCGTTCTTCCTTGTTTTTTAACTGAAAACAAGGAAGAACGCTATAGTCGAGTACCTCGACTATCATATACCCGTTACTCAGCTAAAGGGACCAAAGGGAAATGGAGATATGCAAGCAGCAAAGCGAGATTAAAATGCGCCACCTACCGGCGGTAGACAGATTTAAGCGTTATGGGCGTTAGAGTAAGCGTGGCAAATTTTTTTTTGGGTTTTAGTTAACATTTTTATTCTAGCATCAAAAACAGTTTTGGGCGGTTTGTGGGCGTTAGAGTGGGCGTGGCACGCTGCTAAAAGAAACTTGCGCTGCGTAAGAAGCTCAGGAATCTGCACGCCAAATCTCAATAGCCTAGCTCTTATAGTTTCCGAGATCTCAGCGTTCATCCGGACGGACGGAAAGACGGACAAACGGACATGGCCAGATCGACTCGGCTAGTGATCCTCATCAAGAATATATATACTTTATGGGGTCGGAAACGCTTCCTTCTGCCTGTTACATACTTTCCGACGAATCTAGTATACCCTTCTACTCTACGAGTAACGGGTATAAAAATAACTAAATCTGCATATGCATTTACGTATTTTTAAAAAATGAAAGGAAATTAAAAACTCCCATTTTATATTCCCTTAGAAAGGCCTATTATCGGGGGTGCCACAGCCATGTCTATATCGACTGGGCTGTTAATGATGTCACGAACTGCTACACCGGTGTGATGGTCTTGCTCGAATATCGTGATGCCTATCCATAATAACCGAGAGATATTCGAGTGCAACAACAAGCTTATACCGGAGATACAGAATGTTACCGGCCCAGTACATTTTGAAACGTCGTTTACATAAATTCATCGGTTGGATCCGACACCAATCAATTATTAACCGTAATCGTGACACGAACTTCAAATTAACTGCGACATTTATAATTAGTGTATACACACCAAGGGAAGGCAGAATCTGACAAATAGATTCTTGCGAAGACACTTCGCGTATTGGTGTTAGTGTTTCGTGGCAAAAAAAACCAGAAAGAACAAAACTGTTATCTGATTCCACGGTTTGCCTTTCTACCAACTAAGGCTGTGAAAGCGGCATAGCTTGCGAAAGCAAATAAATTTTCCCCCAACCGGCAGAAAAGCTCACAACCGACATCCATTTCACGAACACGTAAAAATGTTTGTACGGGGAGATGATACTTGCAAAAAAGATCGACCCGGGAAAGACATAATATGGGTTCAGTGTGATAACTGGAAAACCTGGTACCATTACTCTTGTCGGCGTGAAGAAAGCGAAAATAACATTAAAGGCTGGGCCTGCTCTCCTTGCGAGAAGGGTGATACCGACATCGTGAAGACCAATACAACTGCACAGCAAGGCTCCGCCGCGCAGGGATTGCAAAAAGAGCCGAAAATGAGTTTACAAGAAACACCCAGTATAAACATG